TCATAGCATGATAGGAAGGAAGTCAAGCATCAAGGGAGGAAAGAAGGAGATATACTCTTGTACACCACACCTCCAGTGACCTATGGCCTTCAACCAGACTTCACTTCCCAATGTGACATTTAACTATAGTCTACCGATGAGTATCACACCACCAAGATCCAATCACCACCGCAAAGCCCCACCTATTAGTGCACGAGGCTTTAAGGTGGCATATAGAAATACACCATAATTTAAGTTCAAAGGAAAATCATAAAATAGTGTAGGAAAAGATATCTACACCTGTCAGCTTGTCACTAATTAGACATGAAGGGAGAATGAATCCCCAAATCCACAGAAATGGGATGAGGTCATAAAAGGAACAAAATTAGGAAAGAAGAGTAGATTTTAAGGTAGTTATAAAATTCATGGATATTTTACTATGATAAAGAGGTTAGACACCAGATTGTAAGGAGATTCAGGCATTTTGAGTGGTAAGAAAGTAGATTTTTCTTAGGAAAGTTTGTATGAAATATAGAAATATGGTGAAGAGAAGAATATTTTTCTTTAGGTAGAAAAAAAATTCTTTCTTTTAAATTTGGGGACAAAGTTCCTTTAAAACTAAGCAAAAGGGTTGGAGAGCTGATGGAATAAGAAAATGGATCATGTGACTAAGAAGTCCATGAGAAGAGGGGATTGACTTCTTCCCTCAAAATTAGAGCGGGGTAAGAAGAACAATGAAAAGGAACAAAGGCACTTTGAAAAGAAGGGGATGGGGCAGAATTTATATCATTGGTTACAATATCAGTAAAGCAACAATATTTGACAAAATGGTGTTAGGAAATGATCTTTGATGTGAGGACAGTAAAAAATATATGGGGTGGATGTTTTAAGAAAAATAATATTTAATCCTACTGAAAGAGAAATATTATTGAAGAAAACTATAGAAAGACCAAAACATAACTGATGTCATATGGTTAGCAAGGGTAGTTTGTAGAAGGACTGAATTTACCCTTTGGTGTAATTTACTGGCAGCTACATCCTTAATTCAGTTTATGGGATTTTTTATCTCTGTCTCAGGTACTTTATTAGAACAAAATGGCAGAAATGATTCTGCAATAAATTTCTATGAACAGACAAGATCTCAAAGATTTTCTAGTGTACAAAATCCCCTCTGACAAAATTGATGCATAAAAGGGAAAAGAGATTCCCCTGACTTTGTTCTACTTGTTTACAATTGACTAGTGTGCAAGTCAGGCTACTACCTGCTTTTCTGCTACATTTTGAGGAGGTATGGGTTCACTAAACTATTATAATTGTGAGCATTAAGACTTTTCTTGAGGTCCAAGCAATCAGTAATGAGAGTTGGACCGAACACTACCTTCAACAGGTTTCCGTCCCTTAATAACAATATGTGTTACTCTGTTCTTAATAGCCATATCACGGGAAGTAGATTTTCCAGAGGCTTATTTGATGTCAATCACTGGACATCTGTCTGTAATTTCAGCTGATTTGTTTCCTCTCTGTGCAACTGAGCCCAAATTTAATCATCCATTGAAAAAAGATGCAACCAACATTTTTGATTTTGAATATCCTCCAAAACTGAGAATGAGAATGTTATAGTATATACACAATAAAAAATGAAATAAATAAAAACCCTTAAATAGTGCCAAATGTTATTCTTTTTACTATGCTTCCCTTCATTTTATGTTTTTCATCTCTTTTTGCAAAGCACCAGAGTAGACAAAGAGTCTAATGCAGGCCAAAGAGTATTAGATTAGTAGTGGAAAACAGTATGTACCTTGGTTCTTTAACTGATTATTAGACCATGGATACTTTTCAGCCTCTACCAACTTAAATGAGATTATATATAAAATTATACATGAATAAATAAATAAATAACTAGAAATGTATTGTATTTTTCTTCAGCTTTTGTTAATTCCATAGAAGCTGAATTTTGGTTAAGTAAAGCCTTATGGAATGGCATATTGCAAAATATAATTATAAACCTAGACTTAAATTAATATTTTTAGATAAATATTGGCCATTTAGATAAATTATATTCTAATTTTAAAATAACTCATTGAGAAACAAAATATCCATTCTGTTCATTCCATACATATTTATGAATCAAACACTGTGCACTGGGCTATAAAGGATAGATTATTATCATAGGCCTAAATTTTCTTTCACTTCACTACTTTCGGTATAACTAAGTATAATCCTATCACTTTGCAGCCTTTTGGCTAAGATCAAGTGTATAGCTAAATGGTCCCATTTGCTCTCTCCTTTAAAATTTAAGGTTTGCCTGTCTTGTACAATGATCAATTTAGACAATGTTGGCAAGGATAAACACGACTGAAGCAAAGGAGAAGGGCTGACCACCCATGCACCTGCCAAAGTTAATAGAAAAGGATATTTTTTGATGCTTCATGATTAAACTAGAAGAAATTTGTGGACTGTATTTTTTCAAACATATGGTTAACTTTAGGATTTTTAAAGAGCACAGAACATTTCTATCCCATTTTATTCATGAGAAGATGACGTGAAATCAAGTTGATTAGAAAGTCTCTTTGATAGTTCTGTTAGCAATTGGATCCTGGATAATACAAGTAATTAAGTCCTCAGAAATGTATCTGTACTCAAGATACATAATTGTGGTTGCCCATTTTGGTTGTACTTTATTTTCTCAGCACTTCTTTAAGTCCTAATAAGAATGAGGACAGGGAAAAAACAACAAAAATTCTATATCATGTACTTGTCAAGAAATGCATTTCATAAATCAGTGTTGATATTTTGATTTCTAAGACACGAAGGACTTGCATTTATAACACTTATTTTCCAGAAGCAGTTAGTGTTTGCACTGGAGCAGCCTCCTTTGCTCATTCTGCCTTCTGCTATTTTAAAGTTGGGTACTAGAATTCTGAGAGTAGCTTTTACTGGAAAGAAATAAGTCAATAAATGTTTGCTAGTATTTCAATGCTGTGGAACTAGTATAAAAGTAGACTGAATAAATAAAGAGCAAAATACAATAGGTAAGAGGAAGGGGGAGAGAGGTGGGGAGAGAGATCCTTTGTAAATAGGAAAGAACAAAAAAGCTGGAGAAAGAGGAGAGAAGGAGAGGGTAAGGGGAGGTAATAAGAATTAACATATTTTATGTACATGTGCCAACTTCCCACAGTGAAAGTAAATCATTACATGCTACAAGCATGTACTGATAAAAATATATACATTTTCTCTACATATACTTGTTAAATTAGAGCCCTCTGGTGATTTCTGCAGGCATGTGAGCCATGCTCAAGGTTCCTCTACTCAGAAGGGCAATAGTTTGGCTTAATATCTTGCTGCTATCTTTAAATTTTTAAATGAGGGGTCTACATTTTTATTTTGCTTCAAGTTGCATTTACTCCTGGACCTTGGTTTCCAAGATTAGAGGTAAATGGGTCATTAAGAACTTTTGCCTGGAGAGACTGCTAAGAACATCAAAATAGTGCTGAGAGGGTGCTTAACAATTGTTTTTAGCATGAGTAAATGAGTGAGTTTTAAATAAAAGCAATTAACTTCAATTTTTGTCCACTGAACTTTGATGGGATGGGCAATGGAGGAGTCATACTAAATTTTTGAGAAAAAAATTAAGATATAAGAATCCAAACTAATATATCAAATGCTCATTTCCATTACCATATGTGGCAGCTATTATTTTACTTATTTACTTAAAATATTTATTTAAAACTCAAAAACAAGTAAAATTTAACATCTGTTGACATAAACTTCTAAGCCATCTATCTATGTACCTACTTTCTTAGTGGAAATCAAAGCACTATCATAAATATTATGGTCTTGCAATATTTATCGCTTTAAAGTGCTAGGGATAATAATATAGTAACATTTTGTGTGAATGTTTTAATATATTTGCTTATGATGTTAAACTCTATTCTTCATTCTGCAACTTTTGATTTTCATTTAATATGCTGTTTGTGTAATCTAGTATTTATATAGACACATTTCATGCTAGTTTGTTTTGTTCTCATTCCTATGGACAGTATGATGCAACTCTCTTTCGTGATCTGCCCCAGTTAGGCTGATTAAAGTAGAGCCAGAAGAGCCTTTCTTCTTGTTTTGGTTCTGCTACTGCCAGTTAGAAATGCCACTAGCTGGGTGATATTGGGCAAATTAACCAATTGTTATGAAACATTTATAAAGTAGGATTAATAATTTATACCACTTAAAATGTTTTTATGATAAAAGGGATGATATGTATAAAATTTGGCATGTAGTAACGGTACAAAAATAGTGGTAGAGACTATTTTACATTGACATATATAGTTCTGAGTTATGAGGCCCTAAGCAAGTATGTACCATGATTTGCATACGTGTTCTCATTGTATTTAGCTTGGCTGTTTATTGGTCTTGATACTTTTGTTTAATAAGTATGTTCCACTCTTAACATGTAATCCTGGACACATCTTAGTCTCAAATTAATCTTTTACAAAATTGAACAGTATTACTTAATGCACTTTCCATGAATAAAAAGACTTGAGCTCATAAAATTATAAAACTATGATATTAAGCATTTATAAAATGATACCCATATTATGCTCTATGAAAACTTTAATATGCACTTCATGAATAAAAAGACTTGAGCTCATAAAATTATAAAACTATGATATTAAGCATTTATAAAATGATACCCATATTATGCTCTATGAAAACTTTGAAACAAATAAATTGTGGTCTTTAAACTTTGATTTTGACAAGTAGCAAATAATGAACCAAGAACTGTGGAGTTCTGTCAGACTGTAACTGTGTTGCTGCTTGGTCCCCCAGCTTACAATTTGAAATTAAAATCTCATGCACATATTGAACTATTTTTCATGTTGTATGCAGATTACAAAAAATCCGAACAGTCCAATATGAAATTTAGTCTTCTGACTAGATTGAAGTCTGTAATGTTTTGAAAAAATTTTAAGTATATTATGAATCTCCCTGTGATTGTAAAGCATTATATTTTGATTATTCAACAGATTTTATACAATTCGCTATAGAGAAAAGGATAAAGAAAAGAAATGGATTTTTCAACTCTGTCCAGCCACTGAAACAATTGTAGAGAATCTAAAGCCCAACACAGTTTATGAATTTGGAGTAAAAGACAATGTAGAAGGTGGAATTTGGAGTAAGATTTTCAATCACAAGACTATTATTGGAAGTAAGTTTATGGAACTGTTTGTTTCAGTAAGCTTTTATGATTTTATCTTTTTGTCTAGTCATCTAAAGCTTAATTATTTTATTAGTTGTGTAATGTGAAACGAGTTAATTTCCTTCTTGTAGTATTTAAGGAAATATAAAAGAATAGAATTTACTACTATTTCAGAATTATTAGATGTTTTAAAATAAGTGAGAAACTAATATTTGATGTTTCTGATGATGTCATTGGCAATTATAGGATTTAAAATAAATCCTATGACCTATGAGCACAACTGATCCAAAAAAGTCTAAATTATATGTAGTAATGTTAGAATTCAAAGGTAGACCAGAAGAAGGGGCATTAAAAGTCAGTAAAGGACTTTCTTCTAGTTACCTTTCACTCAGGCTTCATTGAAATCAATGTTTGAAAGCATAGTAACTGGAATAACGTGCACAGTTTAGAGATAGCATGAGTTGTAGTTTTCAGTACAGTGATTAGCTAGAATTGAGTTAGGAGCATTAAGAAAGAAATAATGACACTTTTTGTTGTTCTGACAGGTAAAAACAAAGTAAATGGGAAAATCCAAAGTACGTATGACCAAGTCCACACAGTGGTATGTACCAGTTTATTTTTGAGGATGTATATTTAAAATTGTATTTTTTTAATTTAAATTGAATTTATTGGAACATTCTATGTATATACAGTACAGTTACATTCATTACTGGGATCTTGTACCTTTACATGACAGATCTTGCTTCTCATTTTTTCCCCTTGTCCCCACCGTCCCTTCACCCTATTGTATTTCTGTTGAAATATGAAATAGTGCTATTAAGCATTGAAACTGTATCAGTTGACTAACAGTGGGTTGTTAGATAAAGTACTTTGTGATTTAGAAATTATTTTTTGAAAACAGGTTGAATTATGATTTCAAATCACCTTTAATTTATTTAAAACTCTAAATTTCTGATATTCAATATAGTTAATCTCATATTTGAATATTCTGGGTATTTTGAGGTGATGTTTCTTTTATCCTGTGGATTATTTTTTAATATAACACTTCAAGGGAAAATTGATTTACATATTCTAGTTACACTGCTAAGGTTCAAATCTTTCATTTCTATTTTCCATCACTTCCTACTTACCAGAACCAATATTTTCAAAATGATTGGGGTTAGTTTTGAAACATGTTCAACCTCTATTCAATTCCATAGGTGTTGGTGTGTTCTGAGTCAGACATTCCTTCCTCTCCCTTCTCATTTAGACACTTCCATCTCACTTATGCAAATAGTTTTCAGATCTGTTCTTGAGAAGCTATCAGTGAGATATTTGTATTTCAAATTACATATCCAGTAGTAAAGTAAAAGATATATCACTGGATAGGTAGAGAAACACTTTGACTAAAAGAGAGGGAATTGGTGTTGGCTTTTGTTCCTATATATTGGAAAGATCCAAACTAGGAAATACCCATTAGTCCAGTGAACATGCAGAGAATCTTCAAGGGTACAAGTTTGTTCTCTTCAGCATGTGCATGATGAGTATAGATGGTTATCTTTTTATAACTAATTAAATAGTTTACAGAATAACCCTATTTATCATGTGGCCCATCTGAAAATAGCACATATTTTTTTTAAAGGATGAGGATTTTTTTTTTTTTGGTGTTTTGTTTGTGCTGCGAATTGAACCTGGGGCCTGGCACATCCTAAGTGCTCTGGGCTATATCCTGACCACAGAAAGATTCTCTTCAATGAAGAAAATTTTCATAATAAAATAGAAGTGATTGAGAATTGACTCTGTTAGAGTAAGTTGTTTACAAGGCAATGGTTTTCATTGGAAGAAAAATGAGTTCATTATAAAATTATTATTAATTAATAATTATAGGTATTAGATGACTATGATTGTCAGGAAACTATTTTGATGAATTTAAAATTTCAGTACAAGAAAGAAAAGTTCAGCTGAATTCCCACGTCCAGGGTTTGTTTTTTTTTTTAAGATTCTACTGTTTTCCTAAATATGTAATATTTAACGTTTCAAAGGTAAAAATGGAAAAGAAAGCATTAGCAAACATATATAATAAATATATAAAAATTAGTATAAAATAATCTATGATATATGGTTAAAACTTTTATTTAAAAAACTAATTATTAATTCAATGGTACAAACTTATGAAGTTCACTGTGATAGTTTGATATATGTATATAGTGTGTGCTAATCAAATTAAGGTAGCTAGCAATTCCAACTCTTTAAATTTTAATAAATTTGATTAAACTCCAACAATTATACAAATTTATGAGGTACAATACGATAACTTAATACAAATATAAAACCTGCACTGATCGCATCAAGACAATTAACATTTGGATCTCCTTTTCATTACTTTGGTTTTGGAACTTTTGAGATTCAGTCTTATACTAATAAAATATGTAATAAATTATTATGAACTATATGCAACTCTCCCCATGCTTTGGAACTCTAGAGTTTTTTACTTCCAACTATTTTTGGTAGGCTTTATTCAACCTCTCTCTCTCCTTCTCCCTACCTTCCTTGCCTCTAATAATTACGTTACACACTCAGACCTAATTATTTTAAATATCCATACATGAGAAAACTATACAGTATTTGTCTTTTGTGTGTGATTTATTTCATTTAAAATAATGTCCTCTGGGTCCATCCATTTTGCTGGACATAATACGATATCATTCTTCTTATGGCTGAATGATATTCCATTGTATATTTATACCATTTTTTTTTCAGCTTTAATTGAGTTTATTGGTGCATTTTAGGGGTACAGGACAGTTACATTCATTGTTGGGAAATTGTACCTCTACATGACAGGTCCTGGTTCTCATTTTTTCCCCTTATTCATGCCCTCCCTTCACCCCCTCCTCCCCTTCCCAACTACAAACACTTTATTTCCATCTTTTCATTATCTCGCATTTTTTTTTCCCTTATTACCCTTCCACTACCCATCCCACCTTCCCTAGACCTTTAGCCCCTTTCTTCCTATTTCACAATATCAGTAATCTTATTAGGATCTTCGGTATTATTGCAGTTTATCCACACCAGAGAAACAATTCTGTATTTACACATGTGGGCCTTATTTATTTCACTTAGGAGTATATCTTCAAAATGTATCCATTTTCCTATGAATGAATCTATTTTCTCTTTCTTTGTGGCTGAGTAATATTCCATTTTATAGAAAAACCACATCTTCTATATCCAGTTTCCAATTGATGGGCAAATGGGCTGTTTCCAAGTTTTACATATTACAAAACTCTGCCGCTATAAACATGGGTGCGCATACATCACTGTGATATGATTCTTTTAGTTCTCTTGGAAAGTTCTCTTGGAAAGATAACTGGGTCAAATGGAACCTCTAATCACTAGCTCTTTGAGGTACCTCCATATTGATTTCCATAGTGGTTGCACTAGTCTGCACTCTCACCAACAATGGAGAAGGGTTCCTTTCTCCCCATAACTGCGCCAACATTTGTTATTGTGTGATTTCTTGATAGCAGCCATTCTTTGTGGGGTGAGGTGGAATCTCAGTGTTGTTTTCATCTGCATCTCTCAAATGACCAGTGATGTGGAACATTTTTTCATATATTTTCTTGCTGCTTTTACTTCTTTGTCTGAGAAATGTCTGTTCATTTTGGATGGCCATTTTTGAATCAGGTCTTTATATTTGGGGGTGCTGATTGTTTTGAGTACTTTATATATTCTAGATAATAGTCCTTTGTCTAAGGAGCAGCTGGTAAAATTTTTTCCCACATTGTAGATTGTCTCTTAGTTCTGCTGATGGTTTCTTTTGAAGTACAGAAGCTTTTTAATAAGATGAGATCCCAGTTGTTGATTCTTTCTGCTAGTTCCCGTGCTACTGAGGATTTGTTCATAAAGTCTTTTCCTATGCCAATGTCTTCCAGAGTTCTGCCTAACTTACCTTCCAGCAAGTTTAATGTTTCTGTTTTAATATTTAGATCTTTAATCCATTTGGATTTTAATTTAGTGCATGGAATACTCTGTAAACATCTATTAAGTCCATGTGTTCCAAAGTTTAGTTCAGTTCTATTTTTTCATTGTTGATTTTCTGCCTCGATGATCTGTCAATTTGTGATAGTGGGGTATTTAAATCCCCCACTAAAATTGCATTAGTGCTTATTCGGTCTTTTATGTTACTTAATATTTGTTTTATATAGTTGGGGGCATTTATATTTGGTGCATATATGTTTATGATTGTCAACTAGACCTCTTGAATTGTTCCCTTTACAAGGATGTAGTGTCCTTGTTTGTCTGTCTTAATGAGTTTTGGTTTGAAATTTACTTTGTGAATAAGATTGCTACCCCTGCTTATTTCTGAGCTCCTGATGCATGGAGAATTGTTTTCCGTCCTTTCACTTTCAGTCTATGGGCTTCCTTTTGCACTAGGTGTGTTTCTTGTATACAACATATTGTTGGATTTTGCTTCTTAATCCATTCTGTCAGTCTATCTCTCTTGATTGGTGAATTGAGGCCATTAACATTGATGGTTATAACTGATATGTTCTGACTTATTATTGTCATGTTATTGTCCTTTTGTTGACTCTTTTTACTTTTTCTCCCCACTCCTTTTAGTTTCTTGCCTTGCCTATTTGATTTGGTCTGTTGGGCCTCATGTTATTGTGACCTTCATTGCCCTTTTCTAGGATATTGTTTAGAATTCCTTGTAGTGCTGGTTTGGTGTTCATGCAGTTTCTCAGGTGTTCTCTGTCACAGAAGTATCTTATTTCCCTGTCTATTTTGAAAGAGAGTTTTGCAGGATACATCAGTTAGGTTGGAGGTTGTTTTCTTTTACGACTTAAAATACCTCACTCCAGGCTCTCCTGGACCTAAGAGTTTGTGTTGAAAAGTCTGCTGTGATTCTAATGGGCTTTCCTTTGCATGTGATTTGTTTCTTTTCTCTTACTGCTTGTAGTATTTTGTTATTCTGTTGGATTTCTGGGATCTTGATAATTATATGTCTAGGTGTAGATTTTTTTTGATAGTGGCTAGTTGGAGTTCTATATGCCTCACTTATCTTTATGTCTAATTCTTCCCTTCTGTTTGGGAAGTTTTCTGTCATTAATTCTGTGAAGAGTTTTTTTTTAAGTCATTTGTGTTTTCTCCTGCTATTTCATTGATTCCTATCAGTCTTATGTTATTTTTATTTGCATCATCTAGAAGTTGTTGGATCTATTTCTCATGATCCCTTACTGTTTCTAAGAGACCTCTTTTTTCACAGTCACTGACTGCGATCCTATCTTCTATATCTGAAATTCTATCTTCGCAATCTTTTATTCTGTTGTGTACACTTTCAATAGAGTTTTTAATCTCCTGGATATTTGTTTGAATCTATTTTATGGATTCCATTTCTCTCCTCTGTTGGGTATTCATTGTTTCTATTTCTTTCTTATACTGAGTCTTCATGGCTTCTATCATGGTCTTGAGCTCATCTATTTTTTTGTCAGTTTCTGCTCTAGAGTCTCGAATCATGACTTCCATTTTGCTCATCATCTCTCTGGTTAACTGGGAAATTATTTCTGATTTGAATTTTTCTAGGGCCTGATTGATCTGTTTTGTTACCTCCTGTGTTATGGGTCC